TAAAGTATCATAGACCACTATCTATGATAATCGAGTCGAAAGTTTAGCTTGATTTGTTAAGCCGTAGGCATATTTTAAAACTTTTATTTATATAACTTGGAATAATAAACAAATTGTTAAGTGATAACCATCGCCTAGAGACATAAACAACACCATGAATACATATGACAGAATAAATAGTATATAAATTTATAGCGTAGATTATTTTGGATTTTAATTATGGGGTCGCTGTATCGGTTACACATAGATTAAGGACACGAGGTTACATAACAATCGGTTTTTTGTAATATTCTCATGTTTACTCAGACATACTCTTAAAAAAAATATCTGTATATATATATATATATATATATATATATATATATATATATATATATATACTTCTTCTACATTGGCATTATTAATCTCTATGACCTTTATCATCCTTCGTGGAGATTATTGGCTTCCGTGTTTCTTTTTTTCACAACACAGGGGGCAAACGAGCATGCAGCTCACCTGGTGGTAAGTGACTGCCGCCGCCCATGATCACCGACAACACTAAAGGCATTGCAGGTGTGCTGCCAGTCTTTTAAAAAGGAATATGCTCTTTTCTTGAAGGTTATGTTTTCGACCACGACGTTTAATTAGAGTTATTCAAAATGGCCGCGGGATCGCGTCCCAAGAACAGACATATCAAGGCATCTCCTACCTACGTATTCTTCTACTCGACGCATTATAGGTGTGTATAGCTCTTCAATCGGCCTTCCAGTAATATATCTCCCACGTCACGTACGCCAAGACTATCTCAGTTATACGCGTTAAGTATGCGGTCAGACTGTGTTACGCCACTCATCCACGTCAGCATCCTCATATCCGTGACGCGGAGCTCCTAGTCGTACTTAGCTAAAGCTAGCCTGCATTCACTACTACACAAGAGAACGAGTCTGATGTGCTCTTAGTATACCTGTCCTTTTAACTTTGGAGATATCTTGCAATTGCATAACACTTCAGAGACTTTACCCCACTTTGCCATGTCGATTCTGTGCATCGTCATCCATGCCACCATGGAGCACCATGGACCACCAGGAGCCATTACGTATTAGCATCATATCAGCCCTCAGTTAACAGCTGATTTTAGACAATTGTCCACTGGTAAACTTAAGCTTCCCCTTAATGGAGGATTTTGCCAGTTATTGCCACGTTTGGGAGGTGGGTTGGTAATCTCAGTTAGACTTTAGTAAGAACTTTAGTGATATTTTAAGAGGACGCTACTGCCTATCCGTCGACTATTAAGTTCCCTTAGTTACCTCTTACGACACCCACAAGAAAGGAAGTGGTAGCCCATACTATAACGGATCCACAGGACACATATACACTACGTACTACATGCATTAATACTAATAGTAATAACTAATATTAATGTTACCAACATGGTACTATTTGGGTTCAAACTACCCTCCCAAAATAATTGTATGATTTTTGTTATAATGCATAATTTACAAATATGTGCATTTTGTGTTTATTTTATGATTATAATTAATAAGTTACATCATGTAATGTAAGTTTTTTATGTTGTGTAGAATTATAGATACTTGTATCTCTATTTTAAGTGTTTGAAGGAGTGTATATTACTCGCCAAACGATTTATGGCCGATTGTAAATTCTAGGCTTACGTACACTGGAATTTATTATATTTGTAATCACTTATAATAAATAAAGAACTTTTGAAAACAAAAAAACTACATGCATATCGTCATAGTCGTAGAATACTGACGGATCTGACAAATATTACATATAAAAATCCGTCAGTATTCTACGACTATGACGATATTACCTATGACTGGTCAATGAACCCAGTACATGTAATTTAAAACTATTTAAATATGAATACAATTAATATGTATTCTAATTCCAGTAAAGATCAATTTTTTTTTTCTTTGATGGGGAAAAAGGAATGGTAACCCCGCCTGCGCTAACGGTATACGCTGACGGAGCACCAGTGAAGGGTGATAGATGAGAATGAAAACAGGCCAGTTAGCCCATCATGATGAATTCATCAGGAATTAACCATGATAGTTTCCAGGGGAAAACGCGATGAGGTCGACCTGGTTGGGTATATTGCTAGCAATGGGATTCTCAGTCTCTTTACTAACAATCCCTTTCCCCCCAGTTCATCCAAGTTACGTTACTCTTAAAAATCCAATGAGTGCGTACATACAGTTAATACATGTTATACATGCAAATAATCAGATATTTCCAGTTGGCTGATTAATTAGACGCATCGAAGCGTTGTAATAAAGGAATCATAGAATTACATTCTAATCCATTGATAGAGCGGGGCAAATTATACAGTAATCGCTTGTCGGTGTAAAAAAAACCCATCGTTCGTTTATTATATCTCGAACCAGTTTTCCCATGACTCTTAAGTTCAACTAAAAAAAGTAATTAATACGTATAGAAACATTATCCTTACATACATACATACATATCTGTCACGTCTGTCTTCCATTAGGGTAGACAGAAACGATGGAACGCCAAATAGTTCGATTCAAATATTCTTTTTTAATATTATATTTTCTAATATTATAAATGTGACTTGTTATTTCTTGGTGCTTTAACGACTTAACCGATCCCTATGAAATTCGATATATATGTCCGGTATGGGATGGAAAAGGATATAGGCTTAAAAAGCCTTCTTCCAGTCAAACAGATTCTTGTCACGTGGATGATGTCATGGGTAAAACCACTTAAAATGCAATTCTATATTTTAATATTTCTATAACTATTTGTAATGTTGTTAATTCTCTTATACCGTGTGGTCCCGGCCATCTCTTCCTTTCCCGTGGGTGTCGTAAGGGCGACTTAGAAAGGGCAGCAGCGTCCCTCTTAAAACATCTCAAAACCTTGGCTGCCGTTATCAATCCGCCTGCCAAGACTGGCAACTACTGTCAAAACCCCCTAGGGGGAGGCTTTTGTTCAGCAATGGACAGTTAAGAGCTGATATAATGATGTAGCTCTAATGACTATACAGCATGTTTGTGACAATAATGAACTAAAGTCGGAAAGAAAGACCTTGAGAACTTTATAAAAAAAACAATCCAACCTCATCGTGTTCAAAATATCAAATGTATCTAATATTTGATTTCTTATTGACTTGACATGTAATGATCGTGACTAATCATGGCGAGTCATCTGAGAGGTGAAATTCATCATGTACTTACAAAAGCTTGTTCAACAATAAACCAATTTAGTTTGTTACTTATATATAAATAATTCATTTATAAACATAGACTAGCTGACTCGGTAAACGTTGTTTTACCATATACATTATTTCTAGAACTATACATGAAAATATATCGTACTACAATTATTATATTCGATTGCTATCTTGTAAATCTATTGCGACATATAAAAATTGCGATAAAACAACAGAAGTTGATTGTAAAAGCGTGAAAATTTTAATTTGTATCTATCCAATGCTATATCATAATAAAATAAAAGTAAAAAAAAAAAATTCAAAAATTTAAAAAAAAAATTTAGCGATGGGTCACCCCTATCATTAAGGGGTATGAAAAATAGATGTTGGCCGATTCTCAGACCTACCCGATATGCACACAAAATTTCATAAAAATCGGTAACAAACACCGCGACACGAAAATTTTATATATTAGATATAATATAAACCATTTATAATTCCAAACAGAACTATGCCTAAAAGTGTCCACAATTAAAACTAAAATTGCTTTGATCGCTTTAATGTGTTACTATAATTGTCACATATTTTTACCACATCTGCCTTTCATACGCTTTCTGTTTTCACCCAATAGTTAGCTGGTAGAGAATGACATATGGCATTAAGCTCGCCACTTGTACAAAATTTTATTATGCAATAAAGAATAAATAAATAAAAGAAATAGATAGTGAATAGAACAAGACACGGGTGGACATGTTCATTTACCATGAATACACATTTGTAGAAACATTAGGTACGGTTGGTAAAAAACATGTCCAAATATTAGAAACTAGCTGTTCCCCGCGACTTCGTCCGCATTTCCGTCGTTTTTCGTAAAATAAGTAGCCTATGTCCTTCCTCATGGTTCAGTGGTTTTGATGTAACAGACACATTTCCCTTCACTGCTCTGCTCCTATTGATCGTAGCGTGATTAAAAGTATACTATAACCTGCCCAGGAGTATGAAGAATAATTGTATCAAGTTTCGTTAAAATTCGTCGAGTAGTTTTCGTTTCTATAACGAACATACTGACAGACAGACAAAAATGTTACTGATTGCATTTTTGGCATCAGTATCGATCACTAATCACCGCCTGATAGTTATTTTGGAAATATATTTCATGTACAGAATTGACCTCTCTACAGATTTATTATAAGTGTAGATTACTGCCTAATTTTATTGAATACGCTCTGTTTTCATTATTGTCTTGTAATCACTGATTGTGCATTTTGGGCTAATTTTTGAAATATCAATACCTCTATAGGACCTTCTTTAATATTATCAATAAGTACCCAATTGATTTGTAAAAGTAATTAGGTAGATCTAAATCAATCTAGATCATAACTGATTATTTCAATCAGTAATACAATAATAGATAACATCACGACTATAATAAGCGCTTCTGTGTTGCCATCAATCATTCTAAATACCTGTTACTTTCGTTATACGAAGCGTGTTTTATTACAAAGTTAGTATCTTTATGATTTAATTACTTATTTTTAATTTACTCGGTATATGGGTCACTCGTATTATGTTTTTAAAGTATCGTTTTGTAAGTTTTTCAATCAAATTATAAAATATGTATAGACTAGAATATTCTCAGTTACGTAATTTTTTAATGTTTTTTTTTTCCAAAATATAAATATTGTCCTATTTATGTTTTGATTAATTGTTACTAATTATAAAAACTGAGTACGTTCTCAATTCAAAATGTTCATCTTTGAAAAAAAAAAAATTAAAATATATTAACACACACACACACACACACATGGATAGCAGAGTGAGTACGGGCGAAAGTGTTTGCAACATAGATCTACGAAACTACGTGGTATAAAACCGGGCAGCGGCGTCACAACAACACACTCCAGCGCAGTATTCGCTGAACAACTGCAAGCAAAGCGAACATGAAGCTATTGGTTAGTAAAATTGACATAATAATAAATATATATGACATGAATCCTGGACTGCAGTGACATTAGCAAAAAGTGCCCTGAGTTACAAGTGATAAAGAGTATATTCAAATATCTCATGATTTCAAGATAATGATTCTTAATATGTGATTTGGAGAAATATTAAAACGACGTATTAGATACCTAATGTATTATATAAAATGTTTTTAATATCCTATTTTTATTTTCAGAGGTCGGTCTTCATCCTGGCCGTGGCTTTGAGCCTGGCCACGGCAGAGGAAAAGGCGGAGAAGAACACAAAGGCTGTAGAGACTAAAGCGGTAGAAGAGAAAAAACAAGAGAAGAGAGGTCTATCTGAGTTCGGATATGGTGATATCGGGAGTCATGGCGATATCGGAGGCGACATTGGGGGGCACGCTGAACTTGGAGGCGATAGCGGTGGCGGAGACATCGGCGGTGGTCATGTCGAGCTCGGTGGATACGGAGGCGGTCATGAGGAACACGTGAAAACTGTCACTGTTGTCAAGAAAGTGGAAGTGCCTTACCCAGTGGAGAAACACATCCCTGTGCCTGTCGAGAAACACGTGCCTGTACCAGTTAAAGTGCCCTACCCACAACCTTACCCGGTCGTGAAAACCGTGCACTTCCCCGTCAAGGAATACATCAAAGTGCCAGAATACATCCCTAAGCCCTACCCGGTTACAAAACACGTGCCTGTTCCCGTCAAAGTGGCCGTGGAGCGCCCGGTTCCAGTGAAAGTATACGAAAAAGTACCTTACCCGGTGGAGAAGCACATTCACGTACCTGTTAAAGTGCCAGTACCCCACCCCTACCCCGTGGAGAAGGAAGTGCACGTTCCTTACAAGGTTCCAGTTAAGGTGCACGTACCCTATCCAGTTGAGAAGATCGTACACTATCCAGTAAAAGTACCCGTCGATAATCCAGTGCCAGTGCACGTCGAGAAACCAGTGCCAGTTCCTGTTGAGAAACCAGTGCCGTACCCGGTCGAGAAAAAGGTTCCTTACCCAGTTAAAGTGCCCTATGACAACCCTGTACCCGTACACGTTGAAAAGCCGGTGCCTTACCATGTAAAGGTTCCAGTACCAGCCCCTTACCCAGTGGAGAAGGTCATCCCTTACCCAGTGGAGAAGAAGGTGCCAGTTCCTGTCAAAATCCCAGTAGAGAGGCCCGTCCCTGTACACATCGAGAAACACGTGCCATACCATGTAGAAAAACACGTACCTTACCCAGTTAAGATTTCAGTACCCGTGGTACAAGAAGAGAAGCACGAAATCTCCCACGAAAGCCATGGTTGGAGTGGTTCAGCGGGAGGCAGCGAGGGCGGATACGACGGTGGGTACGGCGGGTACGGAGGTGGTGAGGAATATCACCATTAACCAGAACTGATCTCTTAGTTTTTTGTTTTAGCTTTAACTGTTAACTTGTTTTTAGTTCTCTGCTAAGTTGTTTTTATTTGCGACTGGTCAACATCGATCGCGTACGTATCGATGTATAATAAAAAAAAAAGTATTAAAAATGTGATAAATTATACATAATTGTTTAATTCTCTTTCCACGATCCTTTTTTTTTTTTTGTTTTTGGTAAGTACAAAAAAAATATATTTATTTATTTATTCATCAGTACAAATATGTGTACATGGCGAACTTAATGCTAAAAACATTCTCTCCCAGTCAACCATAGGGAAGTGTCAGAATACTCGAATGCGGTACTATTAATTATTGATATACATACATACTAAAATTACATATATAAACGAATAAATATATATGAATAACAAATATAAAATAAACAAATGTATAATAACATATATATAATTAACATCGAATCAAATAGCAAATAACTAATAAACGTAACGGCAACGTGAATAGCAAACATACTTATTTCATTGTCTAAATAATATATTTTTATGTACCATTAATTTTCTAGTCATAATTACTTAGGAAAACGTCTGGATTGCCGCACGGTTATGCAACTGTTAGGTAATGTATCGTAATAGGTTGATGCCTCCATATAGCGTTATTAAGGCGTGATAAATAATAACATAAGTCGTTTTGCTAGTAATAATATTGTTACGAAAACTTTATTTTTTTACATATCAAGTATATAAACACTCACTTTTTTATGGAGTTAGCAGTAATGGATGCAACGTCATAATAAACTTTATACAGTAGCAGTAAATATTACATGCTAATGTAATAGTAAATGTGAAAGTATGTCTTAGTAATTAGTTTTAAACGTTAAAATGATCAGGACTTATTCAACGGTTCGTGGTATTAGCTGTATCAAATTAAAACTAAGTCTTAGACTATCATACTAATCCTTTACCTCTAAAGGAAAGGGATTATCAGTAATGGAGATTACGACCCCATTACAAGCTACATGTATATTTTGTCAGATCGACCTCCTCAAACTTTCCCCCTGAAAATCATCATGATTGATTCCCGATAGTCTTGATAGGCCAACTGACATGCCTTCATCTTTACCCATAATTTTTTTTTATACATAACCCACAGCGAATATTTAGTTCTTATTATTATTGTTATTATCATCCATTGAAAAAGAAATCCTTAACACCTAACTGGGACTAGAGCGAATAAAACCGCTGGCAAAATCTACGCGTAGTTGCAAATAAACTGGATCAACTACTTGTCACGTAAATCCTAATTTGAATTCATACGGGCGTACCATGGATTACGTAAGCAGAAAATGTCTAATAGATTAAAGAGAAAACCGTCAAAAATTATATGTAGAAATATTCTACATTATTGATAATTTAATGATATACATTTAGATATATATCATCATTAAATACATTTATTATTAAAAGTAGTTTAACGATGAAATGATTATTAATTTTTTCATTAAATACAAGTCAATATTAATTTCAATTTGTAACTTCTCTAACAGATTAGCTGGGATAATAAGCACCGGTTACCTTATTAATATGTATGTATTTTTTGTATTTATACAATGATAATGTTTACAATTTATTTATTTATTTATTCATTAGTACAAATATGTGTACATGGCGGACTTAATGCTAAAAGCATATACAATATGTGTATTTAAACATTTTGAGTACGTTAAAAATATTATTTATGTTTGAACATTCAAAATTTTTAACCTTATCATTTTTTTTTATACAACTTAGAATGGCAAACAAACTGACGGCCCACCTGATGGAAAGTGGTAACCGTCGCCTATTGACATGAGCAGTACCGTGGACATAACAGAGTATATTGTTTCGCCCATGATACCCCCCATGCGTTGACATTCCTGAGGACTCAGGTATTATTCCTCTGTACCCTGTAAATTCACGCCATATACCACCCTGCAAACCGAAACACAGCCATGCAAACACAGCTGCTTTACGGTTGAAACACAAATGGGACAGAGGTACCCAAGCAGTCGACTTTTCTACAAAGTCTCCCTCTGGTATCATTCTTGTCTATTGATTATAATTTACATAGAAAACTCAAGCGCATGAATTTTACACGACTTTAGAAATGTTCAATATAGTCAATGATTACAGGCAACGCCTCATTAGTTATTTTGCCTATCTGGGCAATGTATCTGGGCAAATAATGATTGCCACTTATTAGCAATCAACTGCTCTCAATTTAGCTGTCGCTCTTTACTGCCGTTGCAAACATTTTTGCTCAGTTTAACGACCATAAATTGAACCTTAATTACAAAATATCCTTTTCATTTGTTTGAATTAGTTATGAAATCTTATATAAAGGAGAGAATTTCATTATCTGAAATGAATATGACTTACCTTATATACGGAATGTTCGCTGGAATGTGGTATTTCGCGCCAGGATCGAAGTCGAGCTCGGAACGAAGTACTGGGGGTTTGATGCCTTGGTACTGTTCCCTGTTAACCAAAAAATCAAAGATTGATAACTTGCAAGTCTCTTGCTGTAGAAAATATTACTAAAAAAATTACAAACAATTTAAAACATGAGAAAACTTTGCTTCACAAAAACAAAACAAGTGAGTTTGACCGTGACAAAATCCATATGGCTCACTTACGGGAGTAAATCTAGTCTATTACAAAAATAATTATAAAAATCTATTTAGAATTGGTAAAAATATCGCATAAATGAGTATAATACATAATAGAGAAACAAACGAACTGGGAATCTCCTTCATTTGGAAATCGCTATAGAAAGTTTTTAAAAATAAAAATTTTGAATATATATATATTTTAATTTAAAAAAAAATTAAACAATGAATTCAATAAAGAATAAATAAACATTCATAAACACAAATAAATTAAAATGTTCAAAGAGATTGGGCTCTAAACTTATATTTACGAAAGGTAATCAAAATAATTTTAAAAATGTTTTGTTTTTATTTCTTTTTTGTGTTTACGTTTCACATTCTATACAGCTGATTATTACATTTACTATAATGAGTATATTCTTTAAAACAAAAAAAAAGCAACAACATTTTTGATATTTTATTACACAAATCGACTTCTGCAGTCGAATCATATTCAATATCTTATCTATAAAAAAAGTTCTTCATGGTGTTACTCGTTGTATTTATTTTAGTATCTTTATCAATTTCCACATATTTAAGTATTAGTCTCAGTTGTCACCACCAGGGACCGAATCCTGGACCTCAAGGTCGCCTGGTACATAAACTACTATTTCAATAAGATCTTTATTTGTACATGTATGTAATGTATGAAATCGTATCGCAATGCATGTGGGCAAATATTTTGAAAGAAATCGGGCCAGTTTGTCAATGCATACATGGTTTTACAAATTATATAATGGCTTAACCAATTTCAATGTGTGCAATAAAGTGCAACTGAAAAAAAATATAATAAAAGTAATTGTAGTGGTACAGATGACTAACGCAAGCGGATTGATGTAATACTATTAATCGCTTGAACGTGTCTGCTCTTTACTATCAAATCAAGAGTTTCTGGACCACCTTCCTTATAGATAAAGGCCACTATCGTAATTTATTAGAATAATATTAAATTATATTTTTTAGAGCATTTTTATAAACTTTGATAAGAATTTATGTTCATTTTCATTACATTACGTGACAGTTAATTTCTTTTAACTAATAAAATAAAATTAAATTTCTTTGCCAGAAACATTGTTGATAAAATGTTATTATCAAGTATGTTATTTATCAAGTTTACAAGATGTCTAATGTTCATTTTTAATACATTAAACGAGTTCCACGCTCATATGATACTATTTCCATAAGAATTTCCATAAGATACATACATATGTAGCAAATGGACGGTGTAGCGCATTCTATTAGTGAAATTTTAAAAGTTTTTTTTTTTTTTTAATTGATTCAATACTGCCACAGAATACTCACAATAAACAATCAAAGAAAACAAATTATACTCCTTTACAATATTACTTAACATACATTCTATCTTTAGAACGCTATAATTTTTTTAATTACATTATAACATTTCAGAATTCACTGAACGTTAAAGTTTAACGCATTTACATAACGATTTCATAGTAGCTACCATCTATTACGCTGCCGCTTACACTTTGCACCATTAACTTTTATTTTCGCGCGAGGTCTGAACCCGTTACAGTCAAGGTTGCCTAACGACCGCGATTCCATCACTTTCCTTACTAGATATAGTACAACTATAAGTCTAACATGTTTCAATCATTATTATGTATTCAGTATTGACATTTAAGTTTAAAGATACCTAGATGACTTTTCAAATCATTTTATGATTTACAAATCATTGTAAATGATAAAACGTATGCAGGTCATGCTGTAACTTACTAATTGAGGTTATATACACGTAGTTATACGTACTGCCGTGTGGTTCCAGCATAGAGTGGGCGACCCCTTACTTTCCTGTGGGTGTCGTGATAGGCGACTAAGGGAAGTTAATGTTTGAGGGATAGGCAGCAGCGTCTCTCTTAAAACATTACCGAGGCCGAGCTGCGATTGCCAAACTGCCTGCCAAGAGTGGCAACTACCCCCCAATGGGGATGCTTATGTTCATCAGTGAGCAGTTAACGACTAATGGTAATATGATGAATATGATGATAATAATGATGATCAAATGACTGCTTTATCTGCCCTCTGAAGCTCACAGTAAGAAATAAGTCTTTTAAATGAACCAAACATTAATTTAAAACCACAGGATTTTTTTAAAATTGTTGTAAATGAAATAGCAAATATGTCCACGCTGTCAATATACGTAAACCCATCGTGACTATCTCCACAGGAATTAACTATGATGGTTTCCAGGGGGGGCCGCGTACAAGTCGACCTGATAGGATCTATTGCTAGCAATGGGGTTGTATTATCAACCCTATTATTAATATATATAGTATATTATTAATTATAGTATATACTATAGTAATGTAACCCTATAATTAATAATATTTTTCTTCCAAATTCTATGGTTTTTTATACAATGGTGAACAAGCTGACGACCCACCTGATGGAATGTGGTAACCGTCGCCTATAGATATTATATGAGCAGTACGATGGACATAACAGAGTATACTGTTTCGTCCATGATACCCCCCATGCGGTGCCATTCACATTATGCCATTAAATTCACGCCATATCCCACCCTTCAAACCGAAACACAGCCATGCACACACAACTGCTTCACGGTAGAAACACGAATGAGACAGACATGGTTTACCCGTAGGCTATGATTGGTATCCCCGGCTTATAGTTAAGTTTTTTTTTATACAACTTAGAATGGCAAACAAGCTGATGGCCCACCTGATGGAAAGTAGTAACCATCGCCTATAGACATGAGCAGTACCATGGACAACAGAGTATATTGTTGCGTCCATGACACCCCTCATGCATTGCCATTCCTGAGGACTCAGGTGTTATTCCTCTGTACCCTGTAAATTCACGCCATATCCCACCTTTCAAACCGAAACACAGCCATGCAAACACAACTGCTTCACGGTTGAAACACGAATGGGACAGAGATGGGGGAGAGAAAGCAATCGACTTTTGTACAAAGTCTCAAAATTAAAACTAACTAACTTAAGTATAACTAAACTGTCACCACTCAAATGCATAATTAATATGTAAATTCATTAATTGTTAATTATAATAATATGTTAATTATAGTAATTATTATTATGAAGTGTAACAAAAAGGGTGAAACTAAACGTTAACTAATTGCCAGTTATATTAACTTTTACCATAAACATTTTGCATTTTTATGAACCATAAATCACTAGTTATGTATGTATTATGTATACGTATTAATTTATTATTTTGGAAGCTGTCAACGTGATATTTGCGACGTATGGTAAAGACTTCAATTTGAAAGTGAATTCTTTATAATGTCGGGCTTAAAAGGACTTGTATCCAGAGCCGTAAAACATATTAATAAAAAAAATATATATTTTAAATGTCATTTTAAACACACACACAATTACATCACCCATTCTTTAGTTAAAGAGGAATGGATTTTTTTGCTCTGAAATTGCATAAGGCTTTGTCAAACAAGATTATGGTTGCGTTAGTATTGTTTCTTTGTATTTTATGTAGGTACCTAATTAAGTAGACATATTTTTTAGCTGTTTGTTTATGTTCCTTTGTTAGAAAAAAAAAAACATTTATTAACAGAAAATGTTGTTTTTTTATACAACATAGAATGGCAAACAAGCTGATGGCCCACGTAATGGAAAGTGGTAACCATCGCCTATAGACATGAGCGGTACCATGGACATAACAGAGTATACTGTTTCATCCATGATACCCCCCATGCGTTGACATTCCTGAGGACTCAGGTGTTATTCCTCTGTACCCAGTAAATTCACGCCATATCCCACCCTTCAAACTGAAACACAGCCATGCAAACACAACTGCTTCACGGTTGAAACCCGAATGGGACAGAGGTACCCAATCAATCGACTTTTGTACAAAGTCTCCCTCTGGTAAAACAAAATGGTGTATTGATGTACCATCTATCAACACTGGCTTTTATCAACAACAACATATCAATCGTAAACTGTCTACTGTCCACATAAGCTTTTCCTTATTGGGGCGTTTTGCTAATAGTTGTCACGCTTGGCAGACCGGTTTGCCGGGACCGTACGAGTAGTTAGGTTTTGGTGGTGTTTTAAAATATTTGACAAATCAATTATTTTTAGGGTTCCGTATCACCAAAGTAAAAAACGGATCCCTTATAGAATCACTTCGTTGCCCGTCCGTACGTTCGTTTGTCTGCCGAGACCCTTTTTCTTAAGTTAAAATTAATGTTCCATTTATATCGCATATTTTGACATTCGCAAAGGGAATCAAAACCTATAGGGAACTTGTAAATTTGTAGTTTTTCACAAAAAAATTAAACTTGATGATTTTATACGGAACCCTAGTTGCGCGAGTCCGACTCGCACTTGACCGACGTTTTTTTAATATATTGAATATCCAAATAAAAAATACCAACCTTAATCTCCACCAATGACAATTATACTGTTCCTTCCTCACATCACCGGTGAAGACGTCCCACCTCCACCGGTCCATGACCAGTGCGAACGGTAAGAAGGCAAGCTTGTCCATGGCCTGTGTGAACAGGTAGTTGGTGTCGTGTGCCGTGTCGTCAATGGAGCGCTGCACCAAGCCCAGAGTTTGGAGGTGGCGCGGCGAGGAGATGGACAGAGCGATGGCCTCCCCTATAGCCTCGTGGAAACCTGTCAACAATAATATGTATGTGTATATCATAATCCATAACACATAGTTCACCTACTGGACATGGATTTTCCAATATAAAGAGAATAGTAGCCCATTATATTTTTTTTTAATGGATGATAATGGAATGGTAATCCCACCCGCGCTATTGGTATACACCGGAGGGGCACCAGTGAAGGATGACAGATGAAGATGAAGCAGGTCAGTTAGCCCATCGTGACGAATTCAACAAGAATTGTTCACGATGGTTTCACGATGGATGGGATGGGTGGGGGAACCACGTGGAGGTCGACCTGATAGGGGCTGTCATACTCCATGGCTAACAATCCCTTTCCCTCCAGTCCACTATTATTACTCGTATATTAACCAAGCGACTTCATATAAAGTTTTATTTCGGTTAATTGGACATTATGCATAATGCCCGGACATCGGGGGTGAGAGGAAAGGGATTGTTGGTAATGAAGTCTAACAAACCCGTGACTAGCAATATACCTATTGTCATTCTTAGTCGTATAAAAAAAAAATCTAAAATAAATTTGCAAATTTATTATAATTCAACAGAATTTTGTATAAATTCAAAAAGAATATCAAATGCATATTTGTCCTCCTATTGTACTAATTATTTTTTGTAATGTGGTTAAAAAAGAATAAATAAAAAAATAGATCGTGTGTATGTATGTGTGTGTGTGTGTATGTGTGTGTATGTGTGTGTGTGTGTGTGTTTTATGTATGTGCACACAAACGAATAGATATAATATCTTCACTAATTCTTAACCGATTTTAATAGTTCTTTCTATAACCTATAAAGTTTACTGCTGTACCTGTCCTTTGTCAATTTTTACACAATTGAATTCGTTGTATTTTTTATTATAAAACCCACTTAATTTTACATTTTAAATAATAGAAACATTAGTAAGTTTATCACAATAAAAAAAGCACGCTCCCTTGGCTTTACGTCAGATAAAATCAAACAAAAAAAGAATGCATTGTTCGTAGCAATGCTCCAAATTGAAGCAGTACTAATACATGTTTCGTTATTCTATTGTTTTAAAATTTTTCCTTTCGTCGTTACATTCACCTATATTAGTCGTAGCATTTCGGATTTGTTTGTTTTACGAAATACTGTCAAATGCTTATGATTGCATGGGCTAGTTTGTATGACAACAAATACCATACGAGGGCTACACTAACAATTTCCTTATTGGACTATATGCATAAATATAGATATGACTCCATAACTAATGAGAGGGACCTTGGATGTTGCATCATACTAATTGTCTTGGGGGATGAGCGATGAAGTCCCGAAGACCCGGATGTGGCCTTCCCTCACATATATAAAGGGTCACAGAAACGAACAGTAACTGTCAACAGTCACCTTTACGAGTATGAATACTACCATAGAGGTAATAGAGTATACTTTTTGTGTATATTTGATATCAACCAAAGGTAGTTGTAGGTTGTTTGCTATTCTAAGTTGCATAAAAAAAAATCTTTTGGGCCTTAATAGCTCAGCTAATCGTCATGGAATTTGCAATATAAATACTATTAGGAAAATGTACATAAGCTACTTCTTATTTCACTCAATGAATACATCTCATTCATGCAAAGTCGCAGATAAAAACTATCTTTATCATATACATATACTAAATATAATTAAAAAAAAAAACAAAACATTTTTTTATTCAACTTAGAATGGCAAACAAGCTGACGGCCCACCTGATGGAAAGTAGTAACCGTCACTTATAAACATGAGCAATACCATGGACATAACAGAATACTGTTTCGCCCATGATACCCTCTATGCGTTGCCATTCCTGAGGACTCAGGTGTTATTCCTTTGTACCTAAATACTAATACCTGTAAATTTTTTTTATGCAACTTGTCAATTTTCGGAGACTATTAAAAATATTGCTATAAATCATTTCTGTAGACGGGAAACAATTAAAGATCGAAGTGTATCGAATCTAAATGCATTTAAAAGCGGCACGTTGAAACAATTCAATACACTGATCCGAGATACACAGATCCAAACGCGAGCGCGGAGAAAGTGTTTGCGGAAACAAACCCGATACCTATCGGTTGATAAGTGAACCGAACATTGTAACGAGGTAATTTTATATTGGCTTCGAGCATTCAATAACGGATTATTTATATTTTTTTATTGGTATATATATTTTTTTTATAACACAAGGGGCAAACGAGCATGCGGCTCACCGTCAGTGAATAAAATAGTAACCCACATGTGCCCTCGGAATATGCTAACGGGGCGGACGGGTCATGCACGAGTTTTTAACTACCATGTTATATAAGACAGTACATTTAACTAAATACACATAATGTTAACAGAGATTTAAAAGAGTAACTGTTGAGTTTCATGCGGGCTCTTCTCAACAGATAACAACCTTCCGAACCCTGCAGTAGATTACAAAGAATTACGATCTAAAAGTGCTTGTAAACAAGCCTATTTTAATACAAATGATTTGAATTTTAATTCGGGGCCACTGGTGTGATGATAGGTGAGAATGAAAGCAAGCCAGTTAGCCGGTAGACTTTAAAAAGAAGCCAATAATTTTGGTATTAACCTGTGAAGAGTAATATTACTTATTTTTATTGTATTATTTAATAATAATACAATAAAATATATCTAATAATAATAAGAATAGGCCACCTCTTCCTTTCCCGTGGGTGTCGTAAGAGGTGGCAAAGGTAGGTCAAGGGATAGCCAATCGCTGGACCCTTTCAATAGTAAAAACAATATTTTATTTTTCTTTTGTCCACAATAAAACTTTGATATAGACAAATTTATATAATAAAATAATAAGCTATCCTATTAATATTATAAATGCGAAGCATAATGGTCGAGGGATGGGCAGTAGCGTCTCTCTTAAAACATCTCTAAAGCCTGACTGCGGTTGCCAATCCGTCTGCCAAGCGTGGCAACTACTAGCAACACCTCCCAAGGGGGAGGCTTATGTTCAGCAGTGGACCGTTAAAGGCTGATATGATGATGATGATGATTGTATTATTTTCTTTTATTTCTATTTTATTAATTTTTCTCCTTTGGGAGTTTTACTAGTAGTTGGCACGCTTGACTGGCAGGTTAAAAACGACTTTGGTGACGTTTTAAGAGGTTTAATTAAATTCCCTTATTCGCTTCTTACGACACCCACACGAAAGAAAGGAGTGGTCCATTCTATGCTGGAACCACACGTCAGTAGACAATAGGCAATATTATTTATAGGATTTTTTTATTTATACTGCTACCAGACTTTTAATAGCGACCTTCAAATTAATTATTTTATTGAATAAATTCTTAATAGAATTCTTTATATTTATTATAAATGACTAAATTTTGTTATTCACCAAATGCGTACCGATTACGGTCGAATGGACCCCAGAATAACTGAACTTGACCCGGTTGTATGAATCACGCAAACTGCATAAAAAGTAAAGTGTTAAACATAGATGTAGAATGGGTATGTACTAGACGTGACACGCAGATTGAGCGTACTATTATACATCCGTGACGATATAATAATATAACCAATGTAATAATAACAAAAAAATATTAACTCAAGTATGAGTTCCTCATCATCATCATCATCATCATTTCAGCCATTAACTGTCCGCTGATGAACATAGACCTCCTATTGGGGGATTTACCAGTAATACGATATACACGAGTAACATTTCTGTAGTCAAAACTTATAAAATATATATTAATAAAAGGTACACAGTTATGTCTATAGTCTTTTGGTAGCCTTATGAATACCAAGTCATAAAACCTAAAAATTTTCTCTAAACAATGCTGTATTTTGATTTCCATAATATTAATATATAATGTTAAAATTACATTCAAAATTATCGAAACATATATATATATTATATTTGTAATTCATAATAAAACATTCAAATAAATAATAAAAAGTGTAATTTAATATTAAATGATATACATTATAAATTTTCATTATTTTTATTATCGTAAAGAAATCGGCATTTAATATTAAATGATTTAAAAACTGTCAATTTTTCTGTTCGATATATTTGTAACAATATTCCTCGTATTTATTAATGGACAGGTAAACACAATTTTTCTGAGTACGTATCACACAATTTCCTTATCTTACAAATAAAATACGCGGGAAAATTGCCAATTTTGCCTTTTTTAATTCCGTGCTTTGTGACGCCATTATAATTCTCCTTAGGAATTTGTCTTAAAATTTCTATTATAACCAAACGTTTTAGTTTCAATAAAGAAATATTATCATTTAAAAAAATATATTCACATTTATTTTCGTGTCTCTTCTAGTTGTATATTTTATGGTTACTTTAAGCTCACATAGTGAATAGAGCCCGAGATGCGCGTGAGTTATGTAACTACACTGTAATCACTTGTATTAATTTCCGTGAGTTTTCTAAAATAAACCCGATCAATTACGATGCGATTTATTTTAATTGAGTAAATTAATGTCATACTTTATTTATTTATTTAAAGGAACACCAACAGTATATTGCATTATAACACATATAAACAACAACTTTTACGGTATAACAAGAAATAACACTTTTGTGTGTTATTTCTTGTTATATCTTGATTAAAAAGTAATATAAATCAATTTATATATTTTAAATTTGTTTTATACTGCAATGAAGCATAAAAATATTTTTTTTATTAAGACTGCTCTCTTATAATACGATAAAAATACTAGCTAATAATATAGTTTTCAGGATTTTCGAATACATTTTAATTTTTTGCAATGTAGAATTAAATTTAGTATTTTTAATTCAGGAGTTAAGGAACGCACTGCGCGGTTTCAGTGAAGATTTCTCGCGCAAACTCTCAGCTTGTGGAATGTTCTACCTGCTGAGGTTTTCCTTAGAAATCACAGCATGGGGTTTTTAAAAAAAGGCGTAATATGATTTGTTAAGGATCGAAGAATGTTATTCCTGGTGTTACAGATGTCCATAGGCTACGGTAACCCTGTTTACCATAAGACGGGTCGTATGCTTGTTTGTCACCATAGTAGTATATAAAAAATAATTTACTAAATAAAATCTAATTTATTTTCCTTTTACTTTTTTTGATACTACCAACAAAATACTTATTACATTATTAGAATATTTTAAAATTGGAATATTATAAAACGCGCACACTAATTTGTCGCGTGCCATACGCGATGAAAATTGTATTATAATCGTTGCCCAACACGCACCATGTTCTATATTTCGCAAGATCGGAACGTACGATGTTTTGGCTTTAATTATGTAAAATCAAGTGACTCTAGTTGAGATAATGGTTATTTAACTGTTATCTAACGTGTTTCTTGAATGCGCGGGAACGCGATCAGACTTTATAATCGCAGTCGGTGTGAAACGTTCCTAATATTTACTGACCACCTCAGTGGTTTTGTAGTCGACACGTCGATTCGCGTAAACCTCGTCTTAGGTTTTTTTTTATGGATGAATAATGGAATGATAACCCCGCCTGCGCTATCGGTATACGCTGGCGGGGCACTAGTGATAGATAGGTGAATAATGAAAAAAGGCAGGTCAGTCAGCCCATCGTGATGAATACACTCGCCTCGTCTTAGGTTCGATTCTCGAACGGGTGAGTTCAAGATTTTTCTAAATTGTATCGTGCCTGAGTTAAAGTTAATTATCTGGTTTTGCATAGCATAGAGTATTTTAACTTCAGGATCAAGGAATTAATGTGAATATATTTATCACTTCTTTTAATTCTGTAAATATTTTTAAGAATCTTCCTTCTATCTCACTCACTCACTTTTCTATATGGAGATTTTATACCACAATTTTTTTTAATTTCAAAATTTTCTTTCTCCTTAATCTTATCCTGTCAATTACACACACAACAAAAAATTATTTAGCTAAATACATGCAATTATTTGAAAGTGATGCACTTATATGCATTCGGCAACTGATTTCTATTTGGGTAATGGAATTGTTAATAGCGAGGATTAACAGCCCCACTGCTAGCAACATACCCTGTCTGGTCGACCTCGACGCGGTGTCCTAGGACATCATTTTAATTAATTCATGCGAATTCATTACGATGGGCCAACTATCTTGGTGTCATCCTCGTCTAAAATCCCTCACTTGGAAGAAAGAATTGTTATTAATGCGGACTATCGGCCCCTTTGTTAACAATATGCCCTATTAGGTCGACCTCCCCGTGATCCCCCTGGAAACCATCATGCTAAATTCCAGATATATTGATCACGATGGGTTAATTGACCTGCCCTTTCGTTTTTTTTTTTTATTTTTTTTTTATACAACTTAGAATGGCAAACAAGCTGACGGTCTACCTGATGTAAAGTGGTAACCGTCGCCTATAGACATGAGCAGTACCATGGACATAACAGAGTATACTGTTTCGCCCATGATACCCCCTATACGTTGCCATTCCTGAGGACTCAGGTGATTTTCCTCTGTACCCAGTAAATTCACGCCATATCCCACCCTTCAAACAGAAACACAACCATACAAACACAGTTGTTTCACGGTTGAAACACGAATAGGACAGAGGTGCCCAAGCAATCGACTTTTGTACAAAGTCTCCCTCTGGTCGTTTTTACTTATCGTTCCCTGGTACCCCGCCAGCATATACCAATAGGACAAACGAGACTACCACTATAAATTATTTAATTACGTTTCAAGAATACTGTAGGTAATGTAATCATGTTCTAAGTACATATTGCTGTCGCGTAATAAGTCGTAACTGACGTAAGCTGCGGCCATGTCGCCTAACTTCCCAGCCAGCCAGTTGGTATGGAATTTCTAACTGGATTTGTTGTTTTATTGATTCTCGAATGCACCATCGGAAACTTTTACAGTATCAATCCACAACCCATATCTTTCATCTAACAGAACACCAAATAGGCTAAAGATCTAAATATCGTTACAGCTTTCAACCGACATCAAAAACAATTAGGTTTAGTGTTGTATTTTTTTTTTTGTTATGTTTGTTACCTCATAACTCCGTCAGTTATAAACCGATTTGGAAAATTCTTCTTCTATCTGAAAGGATATACTTTTAGATTCTAATTTCAGTCGTTAACTGCCATTGCTGAATATAAGTTTTTCCTATAAGAGGAGTTTTTCCAGTAGTTGTCACGATTGACAGGCGGATTGACAACCGCAGTCGTGAAGCAGCTGTGTTTGCATGGCTGTGTTTCGGTTTGAAGGGTGGGATACGGCGTGAATTTACAGGGTACAGAGGAATAACACCTGAGTCCTCAGAAATAGCAACGCATGGGGGGTATCATGTGCGAAACAGTATACTCTGTTATGTCCATGGTACTGCTCATGTCTATAGGCGACGGTTACTACTTTCCATCAGGTGGACCATCAACTTGTTTGCCATTCTAAGTTGTATATAAAAAAAAAGAGACTAAATACAATTTAAATTTTGCGTACCTCTACGGGGTGCTGCATGTTATGTACCTACTTGTATATGTAACTTCTTATTGTACCATGTAGCAAATGAATAAATATGATTTGAATTGCTTTTTGTTTTAATTTAGACTTTTGGTGATGTTTTAAGAGACGCTGCTGCCTACCCCTCTCCCATTAAGCTCCTTTAGTTGCCTCTTACGAGACCCACAAGAAAGCATGCGGTGGCCTATTTCATGCCGGAACCACATGGACATATACTTATAGATTGATCCCTTAAAAATTTAATCAAAATCGGTCAAGCAGTTTAGTTTCTAAATCAAAATTATTGATTTGATCTTAATATTTTTATCAAAGCGAGACTTTGTACAAAAGTCGATTGCTTGGGTACCTCTATCCCATTCGTGTTTCTACTGTAAAGCAGCTGTGTTTGCATGGCTGTGTTTGGTGTGATATAACGTGAATTTACAGGGTACAGAGGAATAACACCTGAGTCCTCAGGAATGGCAACGCATGGGGGGTATCATGGGCGAAACAGTATACTCTGTTATGTCCATGATACTGCTCATGTCTATAGGTGACGGTTACCACTTACCATCAAGTGGGTCGTCAGCATGTTTGCCATTCTAAGTTGCATAAAAAAAAATTGAAGTTTGTTTTATTGTGTAATTTTTATAAATTTAATTCTCTTTCAAGAAATCGAGCAACTAATATATAACATATAGTACTGGCCAGCGGGCATCTTTAATTTAATTACTGTACAGTCGTCGCTTGCTTAACAAATCCGGTTTAGTAGTGTACGAGGTACTATAGTGGTGTTCCACTTACTCAAACTATCATTATGATTTCAATATTTAATATTGTTCCTATTACATTGGTTATATCTTTGATCTGCTGTCTTAAATATGGTAAGTCGATAGATTGAATAAAATTAAATATTTTTGTGCTAATAAATTGTTTTCGAACTTAAATTGTGCTATTAAAATTTATTTTGGGTTGGCAATTGGAAACAAACTAGGTTTTTCGGTTATTTGACAGAGCTTTTTTGTCTTTTTGTTTATTACTTTTACTTGTAACTATTAACCGAGGTGAAAAGTAACCTATATCCTTTTCCATTTCATACAGTACATATGTATCAAATTTCATAATGATTAGTTTTTTTTTATACAACTTAGAATGGAAAAGCTATGATGGAAAGTTTAACCGTCGAGAGACATGAGCAGTAAATGCACATAACAGAGTATACTGTTTCGTCCATTCGTGTTTCTACCGTGAAGCAGTTGTGTTTCCAGGACTGTGTTTCAGGTGTTATACCCATGTGAATTTACGCCATACAGAAGAGTCCTCAAGAATGGCAACACAGCCATGCAAACACAACTGCTGTTGAAACACGTCCATGGGACAGCTCAAGCAATCGACTTTTGTACAAAGTCTTTCCATCTGGTATGACATTGTTTGCCATTATAAGTCGTATAAAAAAAAGGTTTATAAATTTAACTCAATTTACATTTATACCCAGTATAGAATGGATTACTGAATTACAATTAAAAGGTGACTAAGGGATTTTAATGGTAGAGAGATGGGGGGAAAGGGATTGTTAGTAATGGAGAGAATTAATTTATAACCATTTAAAACTTTGGTTAATTCCTGATAAATTCATCATGATGGGCTATTGTTTTCATTCTCATCTCACCCTTCCTGTGGGTGTTGTAAAAGGCGGGGTTACCATTCCATTTTCAAAAAATAAAAATGGTAGAGAGATGGAAAACAGCGTTCCTCTTAAATCAAACTGCGGTTACTATTCGCCTCGCAAGGATGGTCGCTACTGGAACCTCCTTCCCACTTTTTTAAGAAGGGCCTAATTTCAGCAGTGGACTGAAAAAATATATAAAAATATATTTTATATAATAAATATATAAAATATATTTATTATTCAAAATTATTATCATTTTTTTTTAATGATTATACAGGTATTATTTTCATATAATGTGTTTTTTTGAAAAAATGTTTTATTAACTTCTGAGCATTATTATTGACAATGTTGCTGTGATTTTCAATAGTATTTGTTTGTTTAATTTTGTTTATATTTGTTTAATTTTAGTATTGCCTAATTTTGTGTTTCGTTTACTTGTATTTTATTTTGTGCTAGTGGCTACCAAATTACTATTTAAGTATATAATTATGTATTATTTTAGCTGTTTGTTTGCCTTAAATAAATAAATAAAAACTATACTGTGATGTCTACACGAGTAATTACTGCTGTTACACCTTAAGTTGATTAAGTTACGTCAAGTGTTATTATTTTTTAAATTTAAAATATTTCGCATCTTTTTCTCGCTGTATTTATTTACTCATATTAAGACCTAAAAAGAGTGAACGAGAAGATAACATTGGTTGAATTAAGAAAGAATAAAAGAGGCAAAATGCTGGGCCACCACCTTATACGACATGACGATTTTTTTAAGAGCATAGTAGAAGGAAAAATAGAGGGCAAAAGAGGAAGAGGAAGATCGAGGAATAACTACATGGGACAGATAAAGGAAACACTAGGCGTCATGTCGTATTGGGAGATAAAGGATATGGCCTGGGATAGAGCTGGCTGGAGGAAGATGCATGAATTAGTTGCACCGACAAGAGGAAACTCTTAAATGAAAGAAAAGAAGAATTAAGACTCACAGAATTTAGGGCAGTCTATTGTCAGTCGTGTTGTCCAGGCATAGAATAAGCCAACCCTTCCTTTCCCGTGTGTGTCGTAAGGGGCAGCTAAGGGAGAACAAGGGATGAGCAGCAGCGTCCCTCTTAAAACATCTCTAAAGCCTAGCTGCGATTGCCAATCCGCTAGCCAAGTGTGGCAACTATTGACAAAATCCCCAAAGGGGAGGCTTATGTTCATCAGTAGACAGTTAAAGGCATATATGATGAAGATGATGTATTGTCAATCGAGGACTTATTTACGCTCAAATATTGAGAATTGGAAAAAATTTAGGTATTTAGGCCACGTCTTACAAACAAACTAAATATAGTTTATCGACCCGTGAAGCCATATACACACATGTCAGGATTATTTACCACAACATACTGTTAAACTTGACATCAATTGTAAACCACAAAATGTTGTTACAAACAATAGAATGTATAAAATGAATTATCGTCATCTCAGCCATTTTCTGTCCACTGCTGAACATAGATCTCCCACATAGATTGCCATAAGGAACGATCCTGAGCCACTGCATCCACTGATTCCCTGCAATCCATTTAAGGTAATCGCTCCATCTAGTGAGGGTCGTCCTACACTGCGTTTGCCTGTACGGGGTCGTCACTTAAGATCATTCTTCCGCGTCGGTTGTCGGCTCTTCGAGCTGTGACCAACCTATTACCATTTCAGCTTGCCTATCCTTGGAACTATATCGGTGACTTTGGTTCTTTTGCGGATATCCTCATTTCGGATTCTTTCACGCAAACAAACTTACAAAAATATCAGTTACAATCCACTACAGCAACAGTTTTTTTTTTGATGGGTGAAAATGGTATGGTAACCCCGCCTGCGCTAACGGGATACGCTGGCGGAGCACCAGTGAAGGGTGATAGATGAGAATGAAAACAGGCCAGTTAGCCCATCATGATGAATTCATCAGGAATTAACCATGATAGTTTCCAGGGAGAACCGCGAAGAGGTCGACCTGGTTGGGTATATTGCTAGCAATGGGATTCTCAGTCTCCATTACTAACAATTCCTTTCCCCCCACTACAGCAACAGTTACCATACAATACTCTATAGTCGTGACAATAATGTTTCACTATTTTTTATTTAAACGTCCTTTACAAATTAATAACAACATCTTAGGGTGTAACTTGACTAAAGGAGTAGAAAATATTAGTTTAGATAATGCATCTTCAATATGTAATAATACTTGTCATGTAAGTAAATATAATAAAAAAAATTCGGGCGAATTAAAAATATCAATTTACCTGAATTTTGTATTGTACATGTATAAAGCGATATTTTCGCCAATTCTGAATCAAAAAGTGAATTCTTTTAATGAGCTTTTTTTTTATACAACTTAGAATGGCAAACAAGCTGACGGCCCACCTGATGGAAAGTGGTAACCGTCGCTTATAAACATGAGCAGTACCATGGACATAACAGAGTATACTGTTTCGCACATGATACCCCCCATGCGTTGCCATTCCTGAGGACTTAGATGTTATTCCTCTGTACCCTGTAAATTCACGCCACATCCCACCCTTCAAACCGAAACACAGCCATGCAAACACAACTGCTTCACGGTTGAAACACGAATGGGACGGAGGTACCCATGCAATCGACTTTTGTACAAAGTCTCCCTTAATCTTAAGTTATTCTATGTTACACCAAAAACTTCGTGTATTGATTTTATTACCTAATTTTGGCATTATTGAAGTTACATTTTTTGTGAAACACAATTTTGAATTATAAGTTTCATAAAATGAATGTTTTCAGCATCCTCAATCCTTTGCTACGACTGCAACAGTGCGTACGACCCCCGCTGCGGCGAGGAGTTCGACTCATTCAGCCTGGGAATTGTCAACTGTTCCTTACGAGATCCGTTGGAACACATCGCTCCAATAGAGCCGACTTTATGCCGCACAATCAAAATGGAAAGTAAGTCACACTTCCGAATATCAACAGCTGAATTCTACAAATATATAAATATAAATGTAAAAATTTGTCGTGTGCCAAATTTCATTTAAATACAGGCTGTATTTTTTAAGTATGTGAGGTCATTTATAAAATTAGGGTATGATGAGGCTGACATATCCTTATAGGATAAAAGCCTCTAAATAAAAAAGATAAAAAAGGCTGTATTTGAATGAAATTTGGCACACGATAGGTCATATTCTAACTTAACATATAGGATACTTTATATCCTAATTCATACAAGTGAAGCCACGGGATACAGCTAGTATTTATATCTTTGTAACGTGCATAAAAAAACCAGTTGTCAGTTTAAAATGATTAAGACATAAGCTAGTGCTTTGGGGGGGAAGGAATTATAAGTAATGCGGGCTACCAGTCCCATTGCTAGCAATATACCCTGTCAGGTTGGCCATTGTACTGAATTCCAAGTGTATTTTATTCATTATGATGGGCTAACTGACTTGTCTTTCATTCTCACCCATCATCCCTTACTGATGCTCCGCCAGCAAATACCATAAGCGCAGGCGCAGGGCGCAGGGGGTTATCATTCCATTATCATCTATTAAAAAAAACCTAGTGCTTTATTGCCCCTGACTAACGAGACTCCATTAACTGTTTACATTAATTTGATTGATATAAATAACTTATTTTCATATTTTCACCGTATGACCCTTAGTCGCCTCTTACGACACCCACAGGAAATGTAGGTGTGGCCTATTCTATAATGAGGCTAACACGGCTCCTATTTCTATTCTAGTTATTCCTAGAAAATCTAGTAAATTAAGTAATTCCTATTAAAATCACTTAGACAGGCCAACTGATCTGACTTCATCCTCACTTGTTATCCCTCACTGGTGCCCCGCCAGCGAACACCGTTAGCTCAGGCAGGGTTACCATTCCACATTCATATTTATATATATTTATTCGTGATTGTATTTTCAGTTTACGGCAAAGTACGAGTGGTACGCCAATGTGGTTACATACCTGATGAGGAGCAAAGTGAAAAATCGTGCCATCGACAGGCAAGTACTGGCGACTTATTCGTCACTTACTGCTCATGTGATACGGATCTATGCAACTCGGCTAGTTCGATGGACACTCAAAAGATGGCAGTGTATACATCAATATTATTATTAACTGTTCACACATTTTGATTTACGTTATTATTGCATTAATTAAAGAGTGTTGATACTGTACATATATTATTACTTTTTTTTTTATAAAAATCACAAAGTTGGTAAACAAGCGTGCAACCAGTTTGAAGGTGAACCGTTGCTACAGCCTGAACAAACCTATGCCAGAGATTCTATGGTATACAAAAGGCAAACGAATCCATCAAAAGAATCGTTATCGCTAGGGAACCATGAGCTAGAATGAAATAGCAACGCCATATATCTCATTCTAGTTCATATCAACAAATATATTCATTCGTTAAGAGAGCAGGGTTATCACGTACGCGTCCGACCTCGAAGATACCTTAATACGTCCTTTTCAAAGAATCTCTTACTTTATACTCTAGACACTATTTCTTTATCTAATTAATAATAACAAACAAGCTGGGAGCTCAATAAAAGTGGTAGCAGTCGTTTATAATGCATACAGTAGTATAGACATTACTGTGTATACTGTGACGCTCAAGATGCATCTTATGTGTTACTATCCCCAAAGACCGCCACCACCATCCACCCATCAAATTAAAGAACCTTAGAAGCACAACTGCTTGGCTGCAAAAGACGAGTATGGAGTTATCCGTACTGATTGACGAACTTTGTAAAGACTCTCGGATCTAGGTGACTCCACTTACCAGGGTTAGCTCCATCCCTGAAGACTTTAGGTTGGTTTCTGTACGCCAGGAAATATTCGATATGCGCCATTTCGTGATGCGCTGTCACCAAGTCTTTCATGTCTGCGTGGGTGCACATCTTGATTCTGAAAATATGAAGTAAAAAGTAAGTATTAGAAGTCCAATTGTCAAATTTTTACATCATCATCATTATTTCAGTCATTATCCGTCCACTGCTGGATATAAGCCTCCCCCATAGACTTCTTTTTTATACAACTTAGAATGGCAAACAAGCTGACGGCCCACCTGATGGAAAGTGGTAACCGTCGCCTATAGACATGAGCAGTACCATGGATATAACAGAGTATACTGTTTCGCCCATGATACCCCCCATGCGTTGCCATTCCTGAGGACTCAGGTGTTATTCCTCTGTACCCAGTAAATTCACGCCATATCCCACTCTTCAAATCGAAACACAGCCATGCAAACACAACTGCTTCACGATTGAAACACGAATGGGACAGAGGTACCCATTTTTGTAGAAAGTCTCCCTCTGGTAAATCTATCTGCCATAAGAAACAGTTCTGAGCCACTGCATTACTTTTCAGGTCGTCACTCCATCTAGTGGGGGATTGTCCTACACTGCGTTTGCCCGTACGGGATCGTCAGTCTAGATCATTTCTTCCCCATTAAATACTATCAAATCTGAGTAAAAAGGCTTTATAAGTAATTTTCTAAACAAGGACGACTATAACGGAGTTTACAAAAGCCTCAACATACCTTTGATTATTTTATCCTGACCTTTCAAACTTTGATTTTGGTATACTTCTGCTATATACGAGTTAACATTTTATTTCTATCAATTAATTGATCATAATTTTTTAATTCTTTTTCTTCAATATTCTACGCAAGACTGTTCATATGTCATCCGTATCTAATATAACTGATACAAATTATGTCTATACATTCGCTATAAAACTCTTATTTCTAAAGATTTTACAGTGATTCAGACAAATTTGTTTTTAATTTCAAATTCTTGATTACAGAGGGTGAGCACCGCAAAAACAGGTCAATTACCCAGTCCTCATGCTAAAGTACATAGTATATTTCATAAGACATGCTAAATCATCGATGTCTTGGTCTCATGACGTAGATATCGAATACCTAGAGTCCATCCCAATTTACCCAAAACTAAGAAATTGAATCCAGAATCCACTGAAAAGAAAAAAAATGCCTATGGAGGCTGTCAAAATCATATCATTTGTTGGTATTGGAAAGCATTGGCACTTGAGGGAAATTGGTGAACGCTTATAAAGATGATGATCATCATCTTAATATTAGTTGTCAACTGTTCACTGCTGAACATAGGTCTAAAGATTACAATAGATATAATTTGATTGTTGACCATTACCGAAAATCATGACGATTACAAAAGTCCCAGGCTGAAGGCTGACAGTGGATGTGCCTGTCTTGGGGCTGGTCGAACACGCTCAGCGCCCAGAAATCTGGCGGCATGGCGGACATGTTCATTGATACGAAGAACTCCTCGGCCAGTTGGAAAATGGTCAATGGAGTGTAGCCCTGGAAAAGAAACGGCAATTTTTGTATGCAAGTTAGAATAGCAAACAAAGTGTAATCCCAATCGACAGAAAGACTATAAACAAGAATACTCTGCTACATCCATGGTAGCATGGTCCTCATGCCTAACCATTTTCGAGGACTACAGTACCATGCTTTCATACTCTGTGATTTCACTGCCATATCCTGCCCTTCAAACTGAATCAAACAAAGCTATTTCACTACCGAAACACGAATGTAATTATTATTATTACATCAGCTCTTAATTGTCCACTACTAAAACTGCCATTAATTGCCATGTGATCCCAGCACAGAATAGGCCACCGCTTCCTTTCCCGTTGTAAGAATCGACTAAAAGAACTTAATGGTCGAGGAATGAACAGCAGCGTACCTCTAAAAATATCCCCTAGACCTAAACCCGTCTGCAGGGGGGAAAGGGATTGTTAGTAATGGAGACTGAGAATCCCATTGCTAGCAATATACCCAATCAGGTCGACCTCCTCGCGGTTCTCCCTAGAAACTATTATTTTCATTCTCATCTATCACCCTTCACTGGTTCTCCGCCAACATATCCCGTTAGCGCAGGCGGGGTTACCATAATATTTTCACCCATAAAAAAAAATCCGTCTGCCAAGCGTAGTAATTACCGACAAAAGCTCCCAATAGAGGGAGCTCTATGTTCAACAATGGCCAATTAACGGCTGATATGGTATGGTATGGAACAGACCTTCCCCATAAGGGGAGTTTTGAAAGTAGTCGCCGCACTTAGCAGTCGGGCAACAACAGTTAGGTTTTTATGATCAGTGGGATGCTGCTGTCTATTCCTCGACTACTAAATTCCCTTAGACGCCGCTTACGACGCTCGAGACATGAGTAGAATACCCAAATAGACAACTTTTGTACAAAATCTTCGTATGGTAAAAATATGTGATGTGATAATGGGAAAACTAATTTTTTTTTATTTAGTTAATAGCTATTAGATCTATTTGTTATTATTCTATATATACATTATAAGAAACAATTCTCTTTTTGCTGTATAAGTGTTACGCATAATAATAGTTTGTTGCGATAGTTTAAAAAGGACACAGAAGTTGCTAAGGATGTTAGTGATTAGGTAAACTGCTTGGCTGGAGCCAATGTATATAAGTTAAATGAGTGTATGTCGGCTTACACTGAGCAATCGTCGATTTTCAAGTTGGAACGACAGATATTATGAGTACAGTGTACATTATCATACTCAAATTTCCACCAAAAGATGGCTCGTTTACGATTTAATTTAATGCGATAAATCGCTTTGTGTAGGAAAATACAGCACGCGTAATATATCAGTACCTGTTGTATCATCTCCGGGGTAACATCGACGAGGGTTTTCCCAGGGTACGGCAGAGTGAACGGCACGATTCCAGACCAGCTTTGGCCCCACATATCGCCGAGGATGTGCGCGGGTATTGGTGCGGATCGGGATATCCTTTCGGGACCGTACGCTTCCCTGAGGCGACGACGGACGTACGCGTGAAGCAGGTCATACAATGGTTTCACCTGAAATCAGAGAAAGTTAGTTATATCAGAAAACACTGGAGGAAGAATTTGAACTCAAGTAGGTGAACATTTTAACAAGTCAGAATTCACTCACTACTTCTTATGCTACTGCGTTAGGTTGACTAGAAGAAATCTCTTTTAGAGATAAGTTCGCCTTTGCTAACATTGTTATTAACTTATTGTTACAGTATGTTTTAGTGCAATAAAGAATATATAATAGGATTTCAGAAAAAAAAATAGATTAGACGAAAAGAACCACCAATGAATTAATTTAGCAACATTGCTTTATGCGCCTCACTTATCTAGAGATCACCTTCTCTACACTAAATGACGCTCCCCTCGTATAAGTAATAGTAATATTACTTCACACAGGATGGTCAACACAAAAATACAAAAGTCCATATTCTTAAGATATGATCACTCCTTATCCGTCTTTGGAAATGACCTTACTCCAAACATATATTTGGAATTAAGTTACATTGTTAGTGTTTTACATTCTAATTAATGATTAAATTCAATACCTGCTCCCAAACCTCTTCTACTTCTTGCCTTAAATTTCCAGATTCATAAGGGAACATCCAATAAGCAGAAGCGTCCGTGAAATCTGGAAAAAAAAAAATTAAAGCGCCTGTTAAAAATTTAATAGCAATAAAACATAAACTCCACTTAGCTGTGGATCTTAACCGAGTATGTTATGTGAATAAAATGTAAAATTTATAATGACTTATATGTAATGTATTGATCATATTCATATAAAAAATTTACATATAAAATAATTTATATACTGATTTATGTAGACAAAGCAGCGGAATACAGCTAGTTAATAAATAAATACTTACTGTTTAATCTAGCTGCTTGATTAGTTAAATCCACGAGCTGCTCGTACAGATCTCTGATACGTCTCCCTGTGTTTCGTCTCCATTCGGTCCACACGTGGGACAGCTCGTCCCAATCCCTAGAGTGGGACATGATGAATTGGAGTTCAGGTTGTAAATGCAGCCCGCACTTGAATGGCTCATTGTAGGCACAGATCTCGGCTGTATTATAGACTGCTAGCATATCATTTATTATCCGGTTATACTGTAATAGAAATAAATAATAAAGATATTTAATGAATGACTGCTGTACAAGTTTTTGAGTGGCGACCTCGTACAGGCAAACGCAATGTAGGACGACCCCCCACTGGAATGACGGCTTCAAATGCATTGCAGGAAGTCAATGGATGCAAGTGGCTAAGGCTGTTGCTTATGGCAGTCTATGGGTAAAGTTTATATGTTCAGCAGTGACCGGATAATGGCTGATGATGATGATGATGATGAACCCCACAGGTATTGTTGTCTCATCATTATTACGAACTTAACCACATATGGAGTAAAGTCCGCCATTTATACTTTCTAGATGTATTAAAGCTTAATGGTTATATAAATAAACAATATATCAAATCAATAAAATATGTTTAGTTAGTCACGGTACAATATTTTATTAAATTAAACAAAATATTTCATACAATTGTTTAAAACAAAACATATTTCAACTCGTTTTATAAATTATGTAATACAATATGTTAAAATTTTCTTTCATTACACTTACATAAAAACACAGAGCAATATAAACAAATTGTGTAGTGATTGAATCCATTGAATTGAATTATTATTTAAAAAACCAATGAGTATTTTCCCAAAAAATATGAATATTTATTTACTTACTTTGAAGTTTATTATCTAAAAAAATAAAAAAATAATTTTGTTTTGATACAACTTAGAAGTGGTAATCGTCGCCTATAGACATGAGCGGTACCAAGGACATAACAGAGTATACTGTTTCGCCCATGATACCCCATACGTTGCCAATCCTTAGGACTCAGGTGTTATTCCTTTGCACCCTGTAAATTCACGCCATATCCCACACTTCAAATCGAAACACAACCATGCAAACACAACTGCTTTAAGGTTAAAACACGAATGGGACAGAGGTACCTAAACAAACGACTTTTGTACAAGTCTCCCTCTGGTGAATTTGCATAAACATGAATATTAACTCGTATTTACTTACTCTATCCAGTTGATCTGGTGGCAACGCAGCCGATCCGATGATGGAGAGCATCCTCAGCTGCCTAAAAGTCTGGTAATCCCTGACGAATCCACGCGGTATTTGCTGAGCCGCTTCCCATAATCCTCGCTGGAAGAGTGTGTAACGCTGCTGTGCGTCCAACTGAAAACAAAAAGGATTAATTTCTTTTTTTTTTTTATGGAATTCCAACTTGAAATGACAAACAAGATGGCGCCCTAGCTAATAAAAGAAAGTTACAAGTGCATACATTGGTATTCCTGAGAACTATGTGTTGTACCTCAATGCCCTGGAATTCCACTGTCGTACCCCAACTTTGTAATCAAAACATATCCATGTAAGCATTGATTTTTTAATGGATAATGATTAACCCCATCGTGTTTTTGAGATCCGCCAGCGTGACTAGTAAGCAATGATATATGACAATGAAGTCAGGCCAGTTGACCCATCGTGAAGAATTCACCAGGAATTAGCTACGATGGTCTCCAATGAGGATCATGTACCGGTCAACCTGATATCGCTAACAATGGAGCTAGAAGTAGGCTAATCCAGATTAGGTACTAACAATCCCCAGTCTCCTGCAAGCACATTCGAATAAGACAGTGATCTGATAAAATAAATATCAAGATATTGAAAATACGAGCAATTGAAGTTTTTCTGTTTTTTTTCTTCTATACAACTTAGAATGGCAAACGAGCTGACGGCCCACCCGATGTAAAGTAGTAATCGTCACCTATAGATATGAACAGTGCTATATACTGTTTCGCCCATGATACCCCCCATGCGTTGCCATTCCTGATTACTCAGGTGTTATTCCTCTGTACCCAGTAAATTCACTGCCATATCCCACCCTTTAAACCGAAACACAGCCACGCAAACACAATTGTTTCACGATTGAAACACGAATGGGACAGAGGTACCTAGGCAAACGGCATTTGTACAAAGTCTCCCTCTGATAAAAAAATCTTGTTAAAAAAAAGTTCTGCAACTTCTTCACCAATTCTGTACCGATTTTGACATCTCTAAAGTTATACAATTTTCTCTCATCTTAGTCTTTTACTAATCTCATTATTATTTGAAGTCGATTCTTTTCAACAACTAAACCATTTCAACGAAGTCACGGTCAAACACAGTCACGGATAGTGTCACCATGATAAATTGCCAGCAGTCAGCACGTCTTTGCAACTGTTTGTCACAGTACTCTTTGTAGACCATTTATGACGTCCATATACGGTGAACCGAGGTGACAATTTGCATAACGACGCCAAACCATGGGAATGCGTACACGTATTGACAAATAACTATTTTTGTAACTTATTTCAGAGTTTTGATGATTGTAATGGCATTGGAGATCTACCAGATCTACCAGAGGGAGACTTTGTACAAAAGTCGATTGCTTGGGTACCTCTGTCCTATTCGTGTTTCCACCGTGAAACAATTGTGTTTGTGTGGTTGTGTTTCGGTTTAAAGGGTGGGATATGGCAGTGAATTTACAGGGTACAGAGGAATAACACCTGAGTCCTCAAGAATGGCAACGCATGGGGGGTATCATGGGCGAAACAGTATACTCTGTTATGACCACGCTACTGCTTATGTCTATAGGCGACAACCACTTTCCATCAGGTGGACCGTCAGTTTGTTTGCCATTCTAAATTGCATAAAAAATAACAGTATTAAAATCTTTACATATTCTGTGATTTATATGGACACTAAGCCTTGTTCTCAACATAAATAAAAAATTTAAAGAGAAAAATATAAATTGTAGAATCTTTGACGATACTTTAAGATAGCGAAAACGGTTAACGATTAATTTCACAATAATAATTTGCCGTATGGTCCCGGTATAGAGCGGACCACCTCTTCCTTTCCCCTTGGTAGTGATGCGACTGTGGTGTTCTCCTTGTATGGTAGGTAGGTGTGGGAAATAATAAACAATAATATGTCACAATGCGACTGAGGACGTCAAGTGAGCGGGGGGGCTAAACTTTAATGGGCGACTAGGGGCGGCTGTGGTCAAGCGAGGAGCAGCAGCGTCCCTCTTAAAACACCATCAAAAGCCAAACTGTCGCTGCCTAATCACCTGCCAACCATGGTAACTACTAGCAAAACTCCCCTAATGGTAAACTGCCACAAGGAATGATCCCTCTCCTTATGGCAGTCTACGAAGAAGGTCTATGTCCAGCAGTGGACAGATAACGGCTGATATTTGTGAAAAAATAAAAGACTTGCTTAACTGATGACATTTGAATTTAATGCACTTTTTTTTTAATGGATGATAATGGAATGGTAACCGCACCCGCGCTATCGGTATACACAGGCGGGGCACCAGTGAAGGATGATAGGTGAGGATGAAGCAGGTCAGTTAGCCCATCATGACGAATTCAACAAGAATTGTTCACGATGGTTTCCAGAAAAAACCACGTGGAGGTCGACCTAATAAGGCATATTGCTAGCAATGGGGCTGTCAAACTCCATTGCTAACAATCCCTTTCCCCCCAATTTAATGCACTTGCAGCAATAAATTCAAATGTCATCAGTTACAAAGTGCATACAAAGTTTCTGTTTTCTCCCAAAGTTAGGTTAGGTTAGATTAATGCTGTTTAGGAATATGTCTGCTTTTCGCGTTACAGTGTCAAGAGCTTGTGTGTTTTGACCAAGTTTATGATAACTTCTGTTTATAGCACTCTAAAAATATACTAAATAACAAGTATTACTTGTCACCGAGACACATTAAATGACATCAGCCCGTGGACTGGCGTGCAAATCACCATCATTTCAAGTCGCCATATAATTACTGATGACTCAGATTATATCGCTACGGTGTCATTATAATCATGATGAATCATTACAGTTATTGTTCTAAGATCATATCCGTGTGATGACGGTTTTTTTTTATACAACTTAGAATGGCAAACAAGCTGACGGCCCGCCTGATGGAAAGTGGTAACCGTCGCCTATAGACATGAGCAGTACCATGGACATAACAGAGTATACTGTTTCGCTTATGATACCCCACATGCGTTGCCATTCCTGAGGACTCAGGTGTTATTCCTCTGTACCCGTGTACCTCTGTACTCATGTCCATGGTACTGCTCATGTCTATAGGCGTCGTTTACCACTTTCCATCAGGTGGGCCGTCAGTTTATTTGCCATTCTAAATTGCATTCATGAGAGCAGAGCCGTGGGATAGAGCTAGTAGCAATTTATATATAAGAATAAAATCCAAATCAGCATTCTTAACAGGCCCCGCCTAGATAACATTTAAAGATTTTTATTCTTCTCAATCCATGTTTCTCTGGAGAAATATTGCAATTTAAATAGTAGTATACTTCTTTAAGATACATAATATATGTATGTGTATATATATGTATGTGTATATATGTTTGTATATGATAATATTTACATAATAGTGCGCCACCTACCCTTTGTCTTTTTCTTAATTTCCTCTACCCAAAGGTTATCTGGAAGAAATTGCTTAGCGATAAGGCCGCATTTTGTATCACTTCTCATTAATATTTACTGTATTTTTCTTTTTATATGGTACAATTAAGTGTAAAATAAATAAATAAATATTTAAGGTTACAGAAACTGAATAGATTGAACATACGCCTTCATTCACATTAATTGTTTCTAAACCCAAATTCATTAAGGCGACCTTGATTTGATATTGTTTAAGATAATGAGCCAACTAAACGATCTTCACGGTTGTTCCCAGTGATGGCTTTGTGAACAGTGATGGTAATATATTTAAAATGGTAAGCTACCCACTTCCTTAAACATTGTAAAAATTAGACTAATTGAATTTTTTTTTAACGTCTGGAAAATGCTTTATGCAGACCCATACACCTTGTGGAAGGTGAATGGGTACTGTGGGAATCCCCCCGTAAGGTGGGGGTGTACCTACCAAAAACCAGACAATATACCCTCGAGATGCCATATGTCGGAGACATGAGTTTGCTTTCGCAATCTCCACATCTCATTTCATTTCATTTCAAATTTCATTTCATTTCATTTCATTTCATTTCATTTCATTTCATTTCATTTCATTTCATTTCATTTCATTTCATTTCATTTCATTTCATTTCATTTCATTTCATTTCATTTCATTTCATTTCATTTCATTTCATTTCATTTCATTTCATTTCATTTCATTTCATTTCATTTCATTTCATTTCATTTCATTTCATTTTTCATTTCATTTCATTTCATTTCATTTCATTTCATTTCATTTCATTTCATTTCATTTCATTTCATTTCATTTCATTTCATTTCATTTCATTTCATTTCATTTCATTTCATTTCATTTCATTTCATTTCATTTCATTTCATTTCATTTCATTTCATTTCATTTCATTTCATTTCATTTCATTTCATTTCATTTCATTTCATTTCATTTCATTTCATTTCATTTCATTTCATTTCATTTCATTTCATTTCATTTCATTTCATTTCATTTCATTTCATTTCATTTCATTTCATTTCATTTCATTTCATTTCATTTCATTTCATTTCATTTCATTTCATTTCATTTCATTTCATTTCATTTCATTTCATTTCATTTCATTTCATTTCATTTCATTTCATTTCATTTCATTTCATTTCATTTCATTTCATTTATTTCATTTCATTTCATTTCATTTCATTTCATTTCATTTCATTTCATTTCATTTCATTTCATTTCATTTCATTTCATTTCATTTCATTTCATTTCATTTCATTTCATTTCATTTCATTTCATTTCATTTCATTTCATTTCATTTCATTTCATTTCATTTCATTTCATTTCATTTCATTTCATTTCATTTCATTTCATTTCATTTCATTTCATTTCATTTCATTTCATTTCATTTCATTTCATTTTTCATTTCATTTCATTTCATTTCATTTCATTTCATTTCATTTCATTTCATTTCATTTCATTTCATTTCATTTCATTTCATTTCATTTCATTTCATTTCATTTCATTTCATTTCATTTCATTTCATTTCATTTCATTTCATTTCATTTCATTTCATCTCCGACGGCAGCGACCCGCCCCCTGATGGTAAGAGCAGGTCTCCTCTCTCAAGATAGGATGGATGGCGTGTTCATCCTACCACTCGGGGGATAGACTAATTGAAATGATGATGTATGGCAAACGAGTA